GGAGGGACTCAGTCCTGCCTTTCTTCTCTGCAGCTGCAGCAGGCTGCGGTCAAGGCGCTGGGACCCGCAATGGGCCTCCTTCTCCACCATGAGAGGCATCGCAGTACTGTTTTTGAGAGGCTCCCCTGTCTTCTGCAGCAATACGAGGGAGGGGCCGACAATCTTCATGTCACCATGGTGAGATGCCACCTGGGAAGCCAGCATTGGGTCTTGTCTGTATGCGTGGGTGTGTGCACTGGCACACATGCGTGTGTGTACGACTTGCCCTAGGAACTCCGTAGCTCTCAGGGCTTTCCTGGTGCAGTTCAAGACTCCTTAACAGATTGGCCTTGCCTACCCTTGGGGTCTAAACTCACAGCAGCTGGATCTGTAGATCGTGGCTATGATGGGAATGCCACTTCCATTTTCTAGGAAGTCTGATAAGGGGAGACGAAAGAAATGAACTACCACACCACTCCTTCCAGCTGAATTTTGCTCTGTTCCCTCTGGGCTTGGCAGGGATTATGGTCAGGGCCTGGCAGTTTAAAACAAGGAGATTTGGGGCTCCCTGCTATGGGTTATAGAAGTGGAGCATGTTATACAGTGGTTATGCCTGTGGAGCATGTCTCTCCTGCGCTCTGTCTTTGTTTGCACCTGGGCAGCCCCCTGAAGCAGCACAGGTTTACCCCAGGGGAGAATCCCACTTCAGCTCTGTGCTCCCTTGTCCTGTGTCCCTGGAGCTGTGTGGGCAGATGCTGGCTGGTCCTGACTCTGCGGTCAGTTTTGGGGCCTACGACACCTGTGGGCTGTGGGACCCCCTCTCCTCCTGGCATCCTTTGGAAGGAATCTGAATCTCCAGAGAGTGGTAATCCAGGCGGGGTGTATTCAGGGTACTGGGCAGGGGCTCAAACAGCACAGTGGTGTGGTCAGAGTTGCAGATGTGGAAACTTCCATCTTCAAAGTAATAAAGCACTAAGCATGGGGCAGTGAGGTATCTTTTCTCACTCACTAATTTTCTGCTCTTGCTTACTCCACGGTTCTCCTCTCTAACCCTCCCTTTGACTTTCACCGTCTGTTGCAGAGTCTGAGCCAGATCTTGGAGGTAGCCTATGATTTAGGAAATATGGGCTAGATAGAGGTACTGTAAGATGAATACGCAACTGGTTGAGTCGTCGTGCTCAACTAGTAGTCAGCAATGGCTCAAGGTCCAGTTGGGAGGAGGTTTCAACTGGGGTTCCCCAGGGGCCTGTCCTGGGCCCAGTACTGATTAATATTGCCGTTAATGGTTTGGAGGATTAGCTTGAGCACACATTTAGCAAATTTGCAAATGGCATCAAGTTGGGTGGAATTCCAGACACTGGAGGGTAGGGCTCGACTCCAGAATGACCTGGACAGACTGGAGAAAGGGTCCAAAATCAACTAAATAATATTCAATAAGGGCAAGGGCAAAGTTCTGCACTTAGGATGGAACAACTGCAGGCAGAAATACAGACTAGGGAACAGCAGGCTAGGCTGCAGTGCTGCAAAAACGATCTGAGGGTCACAGTCGTTCATAATCTAAATATGAGCCAACAATGTGCTCTTGTTGCAAAAAAACCAAGAGCATACTGGGTTGTATGAACAGGAATGTCATTTGCAAGTCAAAGGAAGTGATTCTCCTACTCTATTCATCACTGGTGAGGCCTCACCTAGAGTCCTACATCCAGTTTTGGGCCCTGCAGTTCAAGAAAGATGTGGACAAATTAGAAAGAGTTCAGCAGACAGCAACCAAAATTATCAGAAGCCTGAGAAATACAACTTACTAGGAAAGGCTGAAAGAACTAGGATTGCTTAGTCTGGAGAAGAGAAGACTAAGGTGGAATTTGATAATGGTCTATAAAGATGATGGATTAGACTATTCTCTGTGGCTGCAGGAGAAAGGACTACGAGCAATCATCCCATTAACATGCACGTGCAGTGACGGGGGAGCTCCCACACACACACTATGCCTGTGAACTTTCCCAGGGTTAGAGTCTTCCAGGTTAGCTAGAGACTACGCAGCAATGACAACTCTGGTGATTTCATTGCAAGTTGTGCGATATTTGGTGATTTTTTTAAAGCCCCAATTCCTGGCATCATATGATTAGGTGAATATCTCAGGGAGCAGGCTGCTGGCTCTAGTTCAGAAACCTGGGGATCTACTAGCCTGCCAGCTCCTGCACCTTTGTACAGTGAGGCGTGTGTACACAGGAGGCAAAAGGCATTCGGGAGCTCAATTGCTTCCTTTCACCCATATACGTGTGTGCGCGCGCGCACACATACCTGCACACACAACCCCCGAGGTGCACAAATGCACGCTTGGCATGGCGAGCTCAAATGCGAATGCAGGCAAGCCAATAATTCTGCAGCCTGGTACGGGGCAACCAGCACAGACCAGAGTCGAAGCAGCAAGAAGTTTGCGTCCTTCAGAAGTGCTTCACCTGGGCTGTGGAACCAGTGCCCGAGCTCGCGTTCCAGCTTGCAGAGTTACTCATGATGAAGGCTCTGATCTTTTGGACCATATGTTCCCAGTTGGGTAAGTTCTGGCTTTTGCTTCCTTTCAACCAGAGGCTTTGCTGACCTTGACTGTTCTGCTGTAGCAGGATTAGCCTAGCAAGGCTGAGTCCCATAGAACAGGTGGCAGGCAAACTTGGCTTGCTTGGAATGAGACCCAGATAGTTAGCTTGTCTCCAAACTGGTTTTTAAGCTCTCTGCAGACAGGGTTATTTGCTAGCTGGTTGTTTCCATGGGGTCCCTGGAGTGCCCTGTACTGTACAGATTCATAAAGAGATGCCTTGATCCCTGCCTTCTGGAGCTCCTGTGGGCTTGATCCCAAGCCTGTCAAAGTCAATGAAAGACAGTGACTGGCTTCATTGGGCTTTAGATCTGAGCCCAGGAAAGCAGAGAAATGCAGGGAAAGGGGCAAGAGAAAACACTTGGGGCGGGAGGGGCTTTCAGACTGGGGAACATTTGAGACTGCACCCTGCTCACATGGGCTCCTCCAATGCCCATGTTATCACGGCTTTGTGATACAGCAGTGCCCTAGCCAGGATCGCTGTGCTAGACCCTGCATGGATTGCTGTGCTAGACCCTGCATGGATCGCTGTGCTAGACCCTGCTGACACGCTAGGCATGGGGCTGAATGGCAGTGCCAGTCAGGGCAGAATTTGCTTGGTCTGAGGCCCAGCTATGCTTCCTTATCACATGTTGTGAGTATTTTTTCTTTGTTGCTTTGGCTGCATCTTAGAGACTCTTACATTTGCAGGCCGCCTCCTTTTCATGCCCTTGGTGATACGACAGTAATGTGCTCAACCCAAATAACCTGGCGATCAGAACTGAGAGCTGGATTCAGACCTTGTGCCTGGATTCCCTTCACACATGCAGTGGTCCTGATGCTGGCAGGACCCTACTGACACAGAGGTAGCTGGGGGTTAGGCATGAGATAGGAGGCAGGAACTGTTGTGTGTTAGTCCTGGCTCTGCCACAAACTCTCTGTGATGTTAAGCCAGCCAAAAACCTCCTCTGAGCCTCGGTTTCCTCACCTGTAAAATGGGTTTACTGCTAATTGGCCACCATACATGGGTTTATTTAGGCCAAGTTCTTCCAAATCACTCACCAATTCTGAAGGCCTGACAATTTAAAGGCCTATTTTTTTCACACATGCAGAGAGTCCCCAATGCAGCTGAACTTGAGTGGGGAGGGGGTTGGGGAAAAGCTCTGGGTGATCAACCTATCTGAAAACCGGGCACACTGAATGTCCAGACCCAAGACACCTGGGGTTTGTTATAAAATTAATGTGACCTCTGCATGACCTCTGATCAATGCTGGCTGATGCAACCTTGCACTAAGATTGCCACTGGTCTGTCAATCTAAGCGGACAAGCAAGGTGATTGGGCCCAACCATGTAGGGTGAGCAAAGTCATGCCATCTTAGTAATTTTCCACTGAGTTTTGCGCATGTGTTATGGGAAAGCTTATGTAACCAAAGTTTATAAATATATGTGTTGAGTTACAGTCGGGGTCTCTCTGCCCTTACGAGGACGGGGGACCTTCGGCCAAATAAACTGGAAAGACCACACCCTTGTCTCCCGCTTATTTGAGTCTCAGCTGGGAAACGAGCCCCGTTGGGCCAACTACTTTTCAAAATACAAGCCACTGCATCTAGAGGACCAGTGGAGGCATCCTGAGCAAGTAATGTATCTCTGAGAAAGACAGACAAACACCAGGGCCAAGATTGGCAACACTGACTGCAATCCAGAATCTCAGGCAAACAAATAAGCCAAGGGAAAACTTTGCATTGTGTGTTTGCATGAGGGTAACCACAAGACAGGAGCCAAAAGGCACGGAAACATTTGTCTCTGAGCACTGTTCAAAGCCTAGAAGCTCATGCCTGCATTATTCTCGGTTGATGCGCAGAGGCATCTGAGCCACCTGTGTGGAGATCCTGGAAAATCTGGATGTCTCAATCAATGGCATGAGCCAAGTAGGTGCTCAGTTAGTTGCTGCCCTTGCATTATGAAGGAATTTCTCTTCATCCCCTGTACCTCTCCACTGGGTAGTTCTCTGCATTGGCAGGGAAATGGAGCTAGACCATGGCCAGTGCTGGCCGTGAGTTATGGAACAAGCTGCCGCAATTTAAGGAATGACATACAACACCCCAGCTGGAAGGGATCCCTGTGCTGAGCTGGCCGCCTCATTCTCTTTCCTTGCTCTGTGCAGTTTTCTCTGAAATTGAGACTTGTTTGGCCAGTGTTAGAACAGGGGTTCAGAGATCAGCTATTCCTGAGAGACAGACATGAGGTCACGGGTTGGGGAAGGACCCTCAAGTAGGTGGGTCATTGGTGACGAAGAGGAGACTGCCCTTGAGCACTGGATGAAGAGAGCTGGGTGCAGGGGTACAAGTAGCTGAGTCCAAGCTGTCTGACTCTTCTCTCCAGGTCTTATGGTCCCGGCTGCTGGAGTACATCGTGCCGGCTGAGTACAGCTGCACTCTGACCCCCCTGTGCCGATGCCTCGGGGACCTGGCCGAGCAACCGCAGTGGGAGGGAGAAGAAGCAGCTTGGATGGACCCCAGCAAAGGAGGTTTGAAATCCAGATCCCTGTGGGATGAACCCGCTCCAGCTGCCTCAAAGAAAATCTTCGGTCTCGTCCATGCACTACGAGGAGGCCCAAAGGCGGGAGGGACAGTTGGGTCATTACAACCTGGGAGGGGGAGCCAGGCAACGTGGGCTGCTCCAACCCACAGCTGCCCCAATTTTATGCTGTGCCATAGGG